TTTCAAAGTCAATTAAAGAAATAATGCCTGGTATTTTCCTTTCTCTAGTATATACTAGTAAATCCTCCATAAATCGAATGTTTTCGCCAATCAGTCTTCCTTTGACAAAGGCAGTCTGATCGGGTTCAATAATCGCGCAGAGAACCGCTTCAATTCTCTTACTTACCACTTTAGAAACAATTTTATAATCTATATTTAACAATGAAATTGGACGCCAGTTTTTAAGCAGAGATAAATCCTTTCCCGATTTTTCAATCAAAGATATTACGCCCTGCCTTTGACTAACAGATAAGAGTCCAACTCTAAGTGAGAGGTTAAAACTGTCAACAACACCTGTCGAAATGTCGTTCCAAAATGCTTTATACCATTCGGCCGAAAGGCCATCACTCCCCGGTGTTTTGTTCGACTTAAACGTTGAGAGAACTTTAAAGCATTCTGCTTCAGTAAGTCTGAGTTCGCACGATGCCTTCTGCGCTTCAGATAGTTTACGCGACTGTAGATTATTAGTAAAAATGTCAAAATCTTTGAAATCGGGCGAGACCTTTTCAGAGTATAAATCTTGATAAAAGAGTTTAATTTCATTCAAAATACGAGTATCATTTTCGATACTTACTCCACCAATCGACAAATTTGTTATGTGTTTTTTCTCGTGGTTTGATTTTTCCAAATTAAAGAAAAAAGACGTACATCTTTCATTTTTTTCATACTGGTCAATTTTTGCTCGGATCAAATGACCTTCCGCCTTATAGATACACATTTTTTCAAGTTTGACTTTTGCTCTTTCATAGGCTTCACATACCGAAGAGATTAAGGTAGAGCCGTCACTTGCAATTAAAGATTCAAGATGTTCGATCTCCTTTAGTAACTCAAGTTCAGCTTTTCGATTTTCACGACATTTTAACTTTGAAAAATGTATTGTCTTTTCCTTAATTTTGAACTTCATGAATTCCCATAATTCGATCTTGCTGAGATCACGGTGCTCGTCACGTAATTTTGTTATGAGGCTTCGGATGCTTAAAGAGTACTCCTCGTCTTGTAGCAAACTATTATTAAATTTCCAAAAACCCGCCCCCCTCATTTCTGTATCCAAACCAATATTAAGTCGTAATAATTTATGATCAGAAAGAATGGCAGGCTCGATAAAGCACTCACAATTCTTTTTGATCCTCCTGTCAACAAAAAACATATCAATCCTACTTTTAAATTTTGAATTTTTAAACTCATCCTTCGCAAAGGACTCATAAGTATATTGTACCGCAGAAGGGTTTAACGTTCTCCAGATATCAAAAAGATTAAAATCATGTATCATTGATCTCACGATACCGGCAGATTCGGATTCTTTATGTTTTGTCATTCCGTAGGAATATCTATCCGTATTAGGGTCGAGAATCATGTTACAATCACCTCCTATAATCAAAAAATCTGAAGCAAAGTTCGTTGAAATATGAGTGTGAAGCTTTTCAAAGAAAGTCTTATTTTCGTGACCATCGTTTGGCGCGTAGATATTCACAAAAGTATAAGAGTGAGTACCTATTTTACATTTAATGATAACATACCTACCTGACGAATGTGTATCGATATCCAAAATGTCATATCGCTGATGTTTAGAAAAAAGTATCGCGACTCCACGCTCGCTCCGTTTTTGACCATGCGCAAAATATATATCAGATCCCCATTCCCTTTTCCACATATTTTCATCGGCTATTGACGAATGGGTTTCTTGTAGAAAAACAACATCAAGTCTTTTTCTTTTCAGAAATAAGAAAATAGACGCCCTCTTTTTATTTTGTCTCAGTCCCTTCGTATTTAGGGACCCTAAATTTAAGTTACGGATAGGAGCAATATGGTTTCACCAAAGACTTAGCCATAAGACCGCGTAACACAGGCATACATACATTATACTTGCCCAGGTGGTCAAAACCCCGAAGGAATATCAGATAAAAGCATTTTATATTTTCTCGGTCTAGTGCATCTACAGATAGGATATAACACACTACCTCATACCTTACACAATAAAAACCCGTATATGTATTTGAGTTACTCACATAAATCCTGTTCAATACAAAAGACATGCACACACAAAAGGCATTCAGGTGCAACACACTCACGCACATCAAAGCACACATTATCGCACATAAATACATGGTATGATTTGCAAAGTCACAAAAACATACATTCACACCCAAACATACGAGACTCACAGAGTATTTAACAGAAACAATATTCATTTTCAAAATACAAAAAGAAGCCGCTTCAAAACCTTTGCATAGAAGTCCAGTCGTATGCGTACAGTAGCGGTAATAATTCAATATACCGTTTTAAAAAAAAGATGTGGTTTACAGAACATAAGTTATATACCCTTCTCAACCATTACTTAAATTCCTACAATAAATCACCCTGGCTGTTGGGAATAGTCAGTATAGTTACACATTATCGCACATAAATACATGGTATGATTCGCAAAGTCACAAAAACATACATTCACACCCAAACATACATATCTAAAAAGATTATTTAAAGGGGCCTACAATTGAAACACTTTTCTAAATGTTTGAATGTTTGATCGAGAAACACAAAATCGAAAAAATGGCCCCATAAGTATTTGTAAGTAGTAAGCATTGTTTCGAAAAAAAGAAAACCTCTAGCTAGCTACTAGCCATCAGTTACATCCCTCTATTAATAAACCTTGGAATTTATAGATAGGTTTCGCCTTCGCACCCAAGAAACAGGTAACTCACAAAGCAACCCAATTAACAGGTTACTCAAAAGGCAATTCAAGAAACAGGTAACTCAAATGGCAACCCAAGAAACGGGTTACTCAAAAGGGTCTACATTTAAGAACGTGTAGACATATTTTTGATACATGATTGAGATAAACAAGGTTGAGAAAGCTGCCCATAAATCACAATTAAGTAACCAGTGTTGTTTCAAGTAAAAAAAAGAAAACTAAATTTACATATTGAAAAATATCAATAGGAGTATCTTCACATAAGGTAAACCTAAAAAAATACATGCTGCCAAAACATCAGTGGCTACATAGGACGCTAACATATTGTTATTGAAGAGGCTACCTTGCACAACCAGGTTATTGTTTTGACAATGCATCTTTTACAGTACCAAAAATACTCGCTTCCATCATAAGTGGGTACTGGCAGATCATATAAATCTTTGACCATTTTCAATGGTGTAACTATTCAAAATGCAACCCAAGAAACACGTTAATCAAAAGAGTCTACATTTAAGAACGTAATAAACATATTTTTGATACGTGATTGAGATACACAAGATTGAAAAGGCTGTCCCATGAATCACACTTGAGTAACCAATGTAGTTTCAAAAAGAAAAAAGAAACACTGAATATACATATTGAGAAATATTAATCATCACATAAGGTAAAAACCTAAAATAACACTTGCTGCCAACATCCGCGGCTACATAAAACGCTTTACATTTTGTTAGTGTAGAGGCTACATTACACAACCAGATTATTGTTTTAACAAAACATCTTTTACAATACCGAAAATGCTTGTTTCCATCGTAGATGGGTACTGGAAGATCATATAAATCTTTGACCATTTTCAATGGTGTAACTATATCTCTTACGCAGTGTAAATTCATCACAACTTGATCTATCCAAAAAAGGCCATTAAATTGTACTGAGAAACATTACAAGTTATTTCTTGAAATATTTGCACATTGCTTTACATGTACTAACTTGACTCTGAAAAGAAAACATCATTCGGTTATAATCTACAGGAATGGCGAAAAATAACTGCAACCCTACAGTCTAGTTCGTAAAAGGTTTAAGTATTGGTTAGGCAGATTCATTCTATACCTATACATGTTCATTACATAGCATGCTATACAAGGTATGTATTGACCAATCGTAAAACAGGCAGATTTCCATTTCTAACAAGCAAGATCATTCATCATTCCATGTTTTGCCTGTTGATATGTGACACTTACCAAACTTAGGATACAGAGGCTATTCATTTATCAGACATATCCTAATATCGATTTTTACCTCAAAATAGTAGGAAGACAAGACAACACCTGTGTAACAATTAGGCATGATATGGTTGCGTTATCGTTTCTTAAGATGAAATAGCAGTGGTTAGCACACATGGAAAAAAGAGACACCACTCACATAATTTACAGATGAAACAACATTTGTTTTGAAACTGACTTGCTTGGAAATTGTAATTTTGACCATTGGAACGTGTAAAAATAAAACTTAATACCCTATACAGTATACAGATTACAAAGTGCGAAGTCGTGTAAAACAGATGATACGGGTTTTATACCAGTTAACATTGCCATTTTAGTATGCAATCAAGAATCATTAACCTGGAAATAGCTTTTACATTTCGATGTAAAAGCAAACAGCACAAAATTGTGCATGAGGTTTTGTCTTCACTGATATGTGCCCCTACAAAGGACATATTGTCATAAAATTAAAGCAACTGCATTTCATATATACGAAACAACCACAAACTTCCGTAATTTTTCGAAGTATTACAACTATGAAGCAATTATATGTGGTGGAAATAGAAAGGATTTAATGCAATCTAAATGTATTAAACAAACGTAAATCACGCAAAAGACATATTGTCATAAAATGAAAGTAAATGCATTTCATATACGAAACGACCACAAACTTCCGTAATTTTTCGAAGTATTACAACTATGAAGCAATTATATGTGGTGGAAATAGAAAGGATTTAATGCAATCTAAATGTATTAAACAAACGTAAATCACGCAAAAGACATATTGTCATAAAATGAAAGTAAATGCATTTCATTTACGAAACAACCACAAACTTCCATACTTTTTCGAAATATTGCAATTATGAAGCAATTATATGTGGGGGAAATAAAAAAGATATTAAACAAACGTAAAATAAAAAAACAATCTATCGAGTAAATGCCTATGTCCATGGTATAACCATTGCATTTAACAGTCCAACTGTCATACATGTAAGTTGTAATAATCAATCTGAAAAAAAATAAATGTCAGTCTTTGATCAATATACCTAACTGTGTTTGTTTAGCATGAGTCCCCATATAAAACTGTATGTGGAGTTAGCTAAATGCATTTTGTTATAATGCAGGATGATTTTCACCTGGAAAAGATAGAGTCAGTCTTTCTCGTCCACACAGTATAATATATATATTTAGGGCTTCCCGAGTTCGTCTCTAACCGCCATCAATGATAAGCCTCCTAGGTTCTGGCCAGTCCACTTAGTGGTGTCGGTTGATGCTGGGTCATTCAGACGTAAGCCGTTCCCGCTTAAAGGGTCGAAAGGGTTGCATTCCCCTAGCTTATTCGAGCCGGTGGTCATTAGTGCTGCCTTCAGTTGCTCGTTCTGGGTAAACTTAAGCCTATTACCTTTGGTAAGAAATTCCTTGAGGCAATCTGGCCATTTACCGACGTTTGCACCCATATCAAGGCCCCGGATAATACGTCTGCAATCCTGTGGGTTTTTCGCCGTAAGTATTGATTCTGCGATCTTGACGTTATCGAAGGCTAGGGCTTTTTGGAAGGCAATGTACTGTGTAAGTGACTTAAAGATTACTCCCTTTTCGCTAAAAGATGAGTAAAAATTTGGTCCAAGAGGACTAGTGTCACTATTATAAAGCATGAGATCGTCATTCTTTATATACGTGTTGTCAAAAGGGGCAAAAGCCGCTGGCAGTGTGTGCAAAGTATTCACTCGAAATTTCACGCCCTCTAAGATCAGATTGTCGGCAAATAGCGAGGCTCGCATATTCATGGCCTTTGCCTTTTTGAAGATAGGATACAAGATCTTCCTATTGGTTTCCACTTCGTACGGTAGGCTTTCACTGATTATGTATCTCCCCGGGACGTCTTTAAGAGTAAAGCGTTTGTTCCAAACACGTTCGCGGTCCTGGAACCAATTGAACTTGGCAGTAATCGTGCGTGTGTATTTAAAGTTTTTCTTGGGGCCCAGGGGTATCCTGTGTACTCTCTCAAAACGCATTTCCGTAGGGTCGACATTAAGTTTTGTCCTTAAGAACTCGCGAATTACATCTTCACATATCTCACCCTCTGCCTCAGGAATGTTGGCGAAGTGCAAGGCACTGCGACGTGAATATATGTCCATATCCACCTGTTTTGCGTGGAGGGCGTCAATGGCCTTGTTTAATTGTCGCAGGCTGTTATTAGATGATTGAGAACTCTCATCAGCTTGTTTCTCAAGAGCGGCGATGCGAGTTTCGATGGCTAGGATATCCTTTTTATTCTCCGTAGCTAAATCCTGCGCATATCCAATAGCCTGTTTCACATCTGCAAGTTCCTTCTTGAATTCGTTTGTCAATTTGACAGTCTGTGCTTCCAAAACAGTATTTAGTTGTTCCAGCGTAACTCCAGAGCTGGAGCTCTGCCTATCGTGTTTACCCATCGGAATTTATGAATGTTTGTAGTATACGAGTATATGAAGTTTATGCTTACGGGAGAATGCTCCTTACGACATATACGTGTAGCGTGTGAGTGTTCCAGTTGAGAGTTCTCCCTTATAATCACACGCCTCGTAGGTTCATAAAAGAGAGAATATATGTCAGAATATATGAAATGTCGATTACCTGCTTCAGTAATGTTCCTGACCATATATCATATAGACATATCCAAAGATAATATCCAAATTTTTTCCGTTTGAATGTATAATCCAGATGTTGTATGATTTTACGCCTGGGTGAATAAACGAAAATTTTGTCCACGTGTACAATTATGTATCATCCAAAAACGTCGATTCTATACTCAATATTCCATATTTTGGTCAGATAAAGATACCAAACTGCGCTACATATGTTCCGATTATAGGTAATCAAAGATTTAGTCCGTAACCATCCAGACTTCCATACAGGTCTTGAAATTAGCGGAGCTATCACAAATCACTCATGTCCGGTTGCCATCTTGAAATTTTCTTCTTTGAATTTCAATCTTACTGATTATATAATTGCCTTATTCAATAAATGATAGCACAAAAGAATATGATTTGATTATATATATTATTATATGTAACTGTATTATAAACTAAAATGATATGAAATATGTACAATGATGAATATTTTCAATAAGGTCTACAGAATTGTATCAGACATGTTGTTTCGAATAAGATACTGTAATAAATCCTAAAACAGTTGTCAATCTTATTAACAATGTGCTAACTTGACATTATATACATGCAAACACTCTCTACATGTGAATGCCTCACAAATAACAACAACAGAATACCCTGCCACCTATCTTCAAATATCTAGTTTAAGTACATGTGCATCTTTCCTTACACAAGCAAGATACTGCCTACAATAACAATTATGCAGTCTTCAATCTCACTATACTTATTCTCTGGCCTGCATATATCTGCTACATGTACTAACTGACCTTACAACCTCAAAACAAAGCAATCTGGTATGCCATCTATCTTCAACTATGTTCAAATCAGGCTCAAAAGTAACAATGCCTGTTGCACTTCAAATACAAATCATAACTCATATTTCTTGGGCAATTAAATAGAGCTGCTATACTGATTCTAGAATAATACTCAAAAATTGGTGTTTACATGTAAAAGAAACAGAAATTGAAGTGGCTGATTGAACTTTAAAATCTATCTAGTGAGAAAATCACATGTTAAACTTAAGCTGCTGAAACTAAAGATATCCTTCACAACAAGATAATCTTACCTAAACATAACATCCTTGCTACCTTCATGTAGATATATATCCTAAAATAGCTATCCTAACTGGACTTTTAGTCCACTATTTTAGACAATTTAACTGCACAATAAATTCAACCTAATCCTCCATCTTGTTAATAATAGCCTCTGCTGACCAAACCCCTAAATTCCAGTATTCTAATTGGCTACTAACAGACTAAGACCTTGACCTTAGAGCTATAGGATCTGCAGGGCCTTCAAACTATTCTGCAATGAGATCTTGCCACCAAATTCAAAAGTTGGAAAAGTTAAAGTGAACTTTATAAATCTTACAAAATAAACTAAAATGCAATTAATGACCCTTACAAAATATTTGTAACAATAGAAAGTGACCATAAATAATAAAAGTAGCAACGAGGGTTGTTACACTGCCCCCTTCTTTGAAAAAGAAATCGTCCTCGATTTCCGTTTGAACAAAAATACAAAATTGCTACAAGAGGACTTGATACATCATCTGGTACAATACTCATAGATGAAGCACTAGCTGAAGTGAAAATTACATAGTACAAAATAGCAAACAAAATATGCATACAGTAATAAAATGTTCAACATAAATGTTGCTTGAAATATAAAACAGTAGCAAAGCATAGTATCAGACTATACATGGATCACATGTACAAGTGAACAATTCAGATACAAAATATCCATGTAAAATACATGCAAAATACTTTACAACTAATTATAGTCAAAGATTTGCATCATCTCTAAACTCAAGCTCTGGATCAAATGTCACTGTTGTTAGGCCTCTTCATAATGTTCATATACAGTACATTGACAGGTATTGAAGTCTTATTCCAATCATGGTAGGTGCGCGCTCCCTACGATATCAGGCCAGAGCTGATAGATCAGTCAAAAACACAATACTGACTCGATGTTGACATACAGGTACAGTGTATTCGTATATATGAGGATTGATGCAAGAGCTGAGAACAGTCATAGATGATTCACTAATTGATGATCCGTATCCATCTAATTACGAAATCACGAATACATATGTTGAAGATATGCAGCTACACTATACAGAATTATATAGGCAGTGTAAGCAACATACACTTGCCTTACTAAAATATAACACTTTATGCAATCCAATGGCACACTTCAGCACATTTATTCAGGATTTTTCAGCATAACTCATGATATTTCCATAATAGTTATATTCGGCATCGGCATACTGCCATTTAACAGACAGTTCCACCAGTAGGTATTTCTTGAATGAACACAAACGATAAATATGATTATCAGCTGCGCATTTGTAACATAAACGTTTCTTTCTTCTATAAGAGTGTGAGTTTGAAGATACACCAAAGTTCACATTACAGTCAGATGGTATACAAATATAAGAAAAATATTTGACTGTTCATTCTCAGGTAAAGGGGACATCTCAATAGATTTGTATTTCACTTGATTCCTCCTTGTCGTCACTCTCTTGCTCGTGAAATCATGTGTACATGTATTGTTCTTTTCCACTGATTCCTGATGTGCAACGCTTTTGTCACTAGGTGGTGTTCTGTTATAATATGACGACAATAAACAATGTTTTATGTTGATTTTTATTTCTATATTATACTTTGAAATATTTTACACATGTACATCAAAATGGCTGACTATATCCGTAAAGATGGCGCTCGTGCATATGTCACGAAATAAACACAAGTAGTATCACAAAATAACACAATCAAATATGATCAATCAGAAAATACAACATCTCACTTTGGAAGCCTTTGATTGTGTTACTACTTCGTATGTTACACTTAAACTAATAATGTCCATAAGACTTAAAACTATGTAAGAATTTAAATGTTCATAAGAGTTGGTAATACAGTCTCTAACTCTCTCTAAATCATACATAGTGTAAATAATGTCACTATAGCTCATCAAAAAGTCTTTTAACAGGTTTCCTCAATCTGTAAGACCTTCTCAATATAGGTTCACTGTCAACACTTGGGTTATTTTCAACCGGAACCTCAACCTGGCTAGAACCACTAATTGGTGATCTAGCATTATCAACTACCATAGATGACTGTGACTCTTTTGAGTCTGTATGTACATTTAGATCATCTTGATCTTCATACCTATGAAATAATGGTGGTGTACACTTAACCAAAGATGACCTATTCCTTCTAAAGGATTTACCTGAAGGTGTTTCTACCCTGTACGACCTTGGCAATGGTAACTTCTCAATTACAGTACCATGTTGTTTCATATCACTAACAAAGACATTGTCACCCTGTGTTAGCTTTTCTAGGCTTGAAGCCCTGTGATGTCAATCAAAGTTCAATTTGCTTTGATTCCTGTATTTCACTTCCCTCTCCCTTACATTTTGTAAAAATGGCCAATTTGGTTTCAAGAGACTTGGGACTTGAGGAATATGATTACGAATCTTCCTTCCAAATAAGAGCTCGGAGGGACTATACCCATTTGCAAGAGGGGTGCTCCTATAAGCCAAAAGAGATACATAACGATTTCGCGATTTCTTAATTAGATTTTTGACTGTTTGCACCGCCCTTTCAATTTCACCATTACTCTGAGCAAACATAGGAGAGCTCGTTGTAATCTCAAAATTGTACTCTTTAGCGAATTTCTTGTGTTCTCGCGATGAAAATTGCGGTCCATTATCCGACCTTACCCTCTGCGGAATACCGTGTCTGCTAAATATAGACTTCAAATGAGTTATGATTTGACTGGAGGAAAGACCATTCAATTTTGCTACCTCAACATATCTGGAGAAATAGTCTACCACCAGAAGATATGTAACCCCTTTGAGTGTATACAAGTCTGTTCCAAGTAATTGCCATGGAAACTGAGGAAATTCAGTTGGAATGAGTGGTTCTGAGTGATTTTTCCTATGTTCAGCACACACAGTACATTTAAAAACCACGTCTTCGATTTGTTTGCTTAAACCAGGCCACCACATAGATTGTTTTGCACGTTCGCGGCATTTAACAATTCCTTGATGCCCCATGTGAATGCGATCTAGCATTTCCAATCTCAAATTAGACGGGATAATAATATGTTCGCCTCGCATAAGTAAGCTATTGACTAAGCTATATTCTGCGCGATGTTGTAAGTATGGTTTCAAAACATCGGGAATATTAGATCTTTCAGGCCAACCATTCATTGTGTATTCAGTAATTGCTTGGCATATTACATCATTCATTTGCTCATGTTTGATTTGTTCCAATCTTGCTTCTGTTGCAGGACGATTTCTATACACTGAATCGATCATAGCATTTGCGCTTGATTCTAGGTCAACATTATCGCCCACTTCACTAAGCGGTGCTTGCGATAAAGCATCGGGTATAATAAGGTTCTTACCTGGTACATGCGAGATTGTATACCTGTATCTGAAAAGCCTTATTCTGAAGCGCTGTATTCTAACAGGTAACTCATCAAGATTTTTGACACTTAAAAGTGGAACAAGTGGTTTGTGATCTGTATGAATGTGAAACTTGAGACCAATGAGAAATGTCGCGAATTTCTCGCAAGCCCATGTAATCGCAAGAGCTTCTTTCTCTATTTGTGCATATCTCATTTCAGTTTCTCTTCAAAATTTCCCGAGTTGATTGATTATCCCCAAAAATCTATGAACTCCCGAAACATCTGTTGGACTCGGCATTTCAATGATTGCACGCACTTTATCAGGATCAGTGGAAATTGAATTCCCGTTGATTATATGACCCAGATATTTGATAGTGGTTTTCCTAAACTCACATTTCTTTTTGTTGGGCATTTTTGAGTTTCACAAGGACACTTTCAAGTACCTTGTCATGCTCAGCAGTATCCTTACCAAAGACAAGAATATCATCCATTTGACAAACAACATTTGACATTCAAGCTAAAATTTCTTCGCTGAAAATGTTCAGGAGCTGAATTTATCCCAAAAGGAACTCTGTTGAAATAATACCGCCCAAATGGAGTGATAAATGTAGTCAAATGACGGGACTTGGGATCTAAGGGTACTTGATAAAATCCAGAATTGCAGTCTAGCTTTGTGAATACCTGCCCTCCTGCCAGCTGACCCAAGGTGACATCTACACTTGGAAGTGTATACTTTTCAACACATACAGCTTCACTGAGTTTGGTAAAATCAACACACAATCTAACATTATGCTCGTCTTTGACTACAACCACTAAGGGAGCGCACCATTCTGTAGGTTCATCAATTTTTGAGACGACCCCCAAACTTTCAAGTTTTTCAATTTCAGCCTTAACTTTAGGCAATAATGGTAAAGCTACATTGCGCGTAGTGGTTAGAGCGAAAGGCTGAGCATCAGATTTGAGTTTTATTTCATAAGATTTTTCAAGTCTTCCTAAGCCTGTGAAAAGCTCTGCATGATAAGAGTATATATCACTACTCCCTGAGTTTGAAATTTGTTCAATGTGACTGTGATTAGATTTCAAGTTACAATTGGCATTCACAGATAGAAGACCTAAAGATCTTATGGCAGGGTTACCCAACAGGCATTTTTGTAAGCCCTTTACTATGTAAAAATCCTGCTTGCAAGATTTATTACCAGCTGACACACTGGCACTAACCATGCCAGTACATATCAATACATGTTTACCAGCACCATACAAGATTTTACTTGGTTTTTGAATCTTTTAACATGATGATTTAACAGTATTGTAAATTTCGGGTGTGATAGCTGAAACATCTGCTCCAGTGTCTAGCTTGAACTGCACATGCTTTTGATTTAACATCAACAAAGTATCAAATTCATCACACTGAGGTTTGTTTGAAGTCAACAACCCTATAAAGGCATGATCAAGATCTCTAGACGCTGTAACATGATCAACGTTATCGACTTTAGATAGGCAATATTTAGCCCAGTGGCCATATCCGGAACATTTCCCACATTGTGAATTTTTGGCTTTGCATTTAGCTTTAATATGTGGCATTCCACCGCATCTGGTACACTTAGAATTTGTAGCATTAGCTGGTGATTTGTCTTGTCCTGATCTCCTTTTGTTATGTGAACGATTCCTATTGCCCTTAAAACCGCCTTTCGAATTGGAGATTTCCTGAATCGCAGACTGGCTAGTAGGGATTCTTAACTGTTCTTGTTGCTTATGAACAGCTGCCTTGGATTTCACAGCGTCCATTGCAGATTTTAGTGTTAACTTTGAGTCGAGTTGCAGCTTTTCTGACAATCGAGCATTGTGATATACCGACTACAATACGGTCTCTGATGAATTGTTCACGACGAGTTTCTCCCACAACAGGAGCGTCAAAATCGCAATGCTCCGACAAGGAATACAAATTAGTAATGAAATTATCAACGGACTCACCGTCTTCTTGAATTCTTCTGTTAAATGTAGCTCGTTAGAATATAACATTATGTCGAACAATGAAGTAATCTTGAAATTTTGCTTTGACGCACTTATAGTTTTCACTGTCTTCACCAGCTGCGGTAAAAGTAAAACTCTGGAAGATATCCTCAGCGAATTCTCCCATATGGTAAATTAAACTTAATTTTTTGAGTTTTATCTCCAGACTCATTTAGGTTTGAAGCTATCATATACCGCTCAAATCGCCTTATCCATTTCAGTGATCTCCCCAGGATTTTTTCATAGCAGAGGGGGATTTTTTAACAAGTTTCGCCGCTCGCTTCGCTCGCATGATTTTTGTGCAAATTTTTGCCGCTCGTTTCGCTCGCTATATAAACACCAATTCTCATATAGAAAACCTTTTATTTAACAATACATGATAATATGCTTGTAGTGTCATGAGTTTTCATTGTTCATTGTGTTTCCTTAAAGTCTTCTGTCCCTACATCTTCTGGGGTGCATGTCAAACCACCTCCCCCATGCTGCCTCAAAATCGAACACCTCTTCCCTTGGTCCATTTATGATAATGTTGAGGACCCTGTCCACTGTTTCTACTTTCATTCTATTCTTTAGATAAGTCTTTTCAATTTTACCCATTTTTTGAATTTCCCGCATAAAGAACCGGAAGTCGAACTTCTTTATCATGACAACCATCAAAAGCAAGTTTGAACATTAATTCGTTCGCAATTATAATAACTATTAATAAAAAATAATACTTCATTGTCAAATTGTAGTTTTAGTCGTTTTTATGTTTGTTTTATTCCAAATTGGCGATTTTGATGATCGGTGATCATATCACTCCGCGTTGCAGTATAGGGGTAATCTGCGCCAGGTTCAACTGTTAACTTTTTCTAATTTTCTGAACGCACGCATCAAATGAACGATTTTGATAGGTTAGAATGTTTTGAGCACATGCGCATACGTAGTCAAATCAAGTGATCGAACCGAACCTGGGGCAGATTATTTCTATGACGCACGATTAGTAATAGATAATTTGATTGGATATTTCGTAACTAATCATGAGTTTTGAGCCAATCAGAAGACATTTAAGATTCGGCCTTCGGAATGGCAAATCGGGAAAAACTTTTTGAAAATTTTTTGAATTTAATGTGATTTCGTCGAATATCCAGGAGAATAAAATAATGTACGTAAGTTTTGAAGTAGCGGGGCGCTAAGCAGGGCGGGCGAAGCAAGCAGGGGGGGAACAGGGCGGGGAAAACGAATGAGCAGGGGGGAGCGCCATGCAATTAGATTCTGGGGAGAACCCAGCATTTTGTCCATAACTCTGGCTTTGAGGAGTCCAATGGCTCAGGAGGCTGAACAAGCAGATTTGCCATATTGATTTGGTACAGTTCACATATATCATATATTGTTGAATATTATAATATGCACATATATATACAGGAGTACTGTCTAGTAACCTCTTGTATGTTGAGATATGATATTTTCGAAAATATAACTTATTTTCCAAGGAAAAATGTCACCTGGTTTTCAAAATATCCACAATAATCCATCAACATCTGCTCCCACTGTCGATTTTTACGCAGTTTGAACTGTCCTCAGTGTAGAAATATATATCTGACACCATGTTAAAAATATAGTTACTTATAAAAATACAATAAGTATACAATATATAAATGGCACATCATCTGTACCATAATCACATGATACATATATAATATAAAAATATGTATTTCACAAAACAGTCCCCTCTGATCCAAATACTGAGTTGGCTTAGCATGTAAGTAGGTTTAGGTTTAGGGACTTATTGAATGCTGGGTTAGCACATTCCTACTGGGAATCCAGCCTCAAGGCAACATATGGAACTCCTCATCACCCCGCTATAAATGAGTAACGGGGAATCCCAAAATTCCTGTGAGGTATTTTCTGAATTCCACTAGAATATCTGCAACCGAAGGCTTTTTCAAGACCAACACTGATTCACAAAATATAATTTATGAGAAACTTCACACCCCAAGCAAAGAATCTACCATTACTATCAGCTGATTACCAGAGTAAGGTTTCATGATCAATGTCTGCATTCACCAAAACTGGGCAAAAATTAAGACAACAAAACAATTTATCACTCAGAAAAGTCCCAATTAAGGCCCAATGCACTTAAATTGTCGAAAAAATATAAGTAAGTTTACTTTCCAAAACCACAGACCATTCAAGGGTTTTTAGAACCAAGTTTCAAGACAATAACTACAAGTTTGCTTACTACTTCTATTATTTACAGTATATTACATAGTTTTCAAATGTTTCAAAAGTCCAATTTGAATTAATCGCCACCAAAAGTTAAATTTTACTAGCCTAAAATTAAAACTGATCTCGAAAGTCCATAAGTGAAGGTTAGCTTAAGGATGAACTGATTCTAAAAAGTTATAGTTAAAGTATTCTAAAATACTTCAAAAAGTCCAGGATAATTTAGGTTTCTTTATTTATTTACAGTCCCAAAAAGTTCACATTCTGCTATCATCGTGCGTAATCCTACTGATATTAAAAATCGAAATCAAAGTCTAGGGGTTCTAGAGTCCCAATGTACCAGGCCTTGGCAGACTCTGGTCCATCCCACTGTTCTCCTTCTCTGCTTCTCAAGGCATTCCTGGACCCAATCCAACAATTGCATGTCTAGAGATGCACCTAACCCGGTTTGTGGCCATAGGGGATCTTTCTTCTCCCCATCTGCATCCCCTGTTCGGCCTGTGGAAGATCCAGCTGAAGCTGCACCAGTCGAAGCAGTTGGTGTTGTACTAGCCACCAATGCAGGTGTCGTGGAGGTGGAAGCTGACGGCTTGGAAGTAAAGGTCAGACCTGTCGACCTGGGTCCATCTACAACAGTGATGGCCCGCAATACCCTTTTTGGTTGTTTGTTCAGGGGCTCTTCCCTTCCGGGGGATAGGGCATGCTGTCGCAGGCGATGCAACTGTAATAGTTCCTCATCATTGGGGCAATACTTTGCCCCACACCCCCATACCCCACACAACTCAGTCTCCCGATGTGCACAGGCAATGTGCACATCCAAAGCCTCTTGTGTTTCGAATGTCTTCCAGCAGAAATACGCCCGCTCGTGATTCCATCCCAATGGTGGCGGGATCTGTTCTCTGCAATCCTTGCCTTTCCTCCCGCTCCTGTGCAAGCTTTAACACCAGAGCAGCTCTAAAGGCACTTGTCATAACAATGGTGGTTAATATGATTATAAAATATATTAATGAATATATATTTTTAATTGCTCAACCTGACTCTCCCTTGATGACCCTAATATGTCTCATACTCTTCTAGCCACCCTGGCTTCTTACGTTCCCGGCCCCTTTTTTCCATGACCTTAATAGGCTCATCAACATCTGTTTCAAACTCATGAGCAGACTTTTCTTTGACATTGGAAACATACTTTTTCAAGCGATCATGGTGGATTACTTTCTTTTCCTTTTCATTAATTTTGATGAGGTAACGTAAATCATCTATTTTTTCCATCACCTCATATGGGTCATGCCACTAAAGTGCAAATTTTGACGTTTGACCCACTTTCACAGCCGGAATGTGTACCCAAACTAGTGAACCCTTGTCATATGCTTTTAAATTGGTTTTCAGCTGCAAGCTGCTTAAAGGTATGATTTTCTTGTTCCGGAACCGAAATGTTTAATAAGTGTTCCGTGTTCCGACCCGAGAGCCTAATTCCGCGGAACGGTACAAAATTGGGTTTCAGTGACACCTCTTTGTTTTACCCCAACTAATTTTTTCGATAATGAGTTAAGCATGGATGGAGTGATGCGAGTTCGTTTATCGACTCTTCCTTTCATTTTTTGAAGACTCTTTGAGCCTTGTTTTATCGAAAAATGGACTGATGGGTCTGGTTTATTGTTCATTTTGTGGTTATATCCAATGGCTGTATGCGTATTGACGAAGTGGCATAGCCTTCTTTATGTAGCTTGCTGATAAATAGTTGCATGTGCTCTTGGCTAAGAGGTAAAATTGGTATATGGAACTATTTTCCAGAAGTAATCAATTTATCCCACGTTCTTTCATAAAGGTACTGTGTCCCTTGTGACTGCACTTTCAATTAGGGAGTTGAAAACATCTTGAAGTTCTGAGGAAGAAGATGTTTCGGTATTTCTTGATTTCTTGATGTAGCTTTCTGAACTTCTGGAGCAGATTATGTGCAATAGCATCAGCTGCTTCGTTCTCAACATCTGGAAAATGAATTGCCTTGAGTAATATGTTGTGTTGCAGACATTGTAACATTAGCCTTCTCGATAAAGGCATTAATTTTCTGTCCCGTGATTCCCCATAGATCCATTCATTTCTAAAGACCCCCCAAAGCCAACCCCCTGAGTTGCATCGGTGGTTAAAGTATGATTTTTCCTTTTTTCCCATTCTTGATCAAGAAAGAAAGATCTCCTATTGAAATTTTGAATGAAGGTATCCCAGATAGACAGGTCTATTTTGACTTCTGGCGTAGGCCTTATGTGCCAATGCTGTTCTCTAACTTGCATAGTCAAATTGATAATACATCTGAGGAAGGTATTACCAAATGGAACTATGATTGTACAATACTGCAAGAAACCAATCAGACTTTGAAGCTCACGTTTGGTTAATTTTTCCTGTTTTTTTGTATTTCTTTACTAAGTTCCGAGCCTTTAAAACTTTGTTCAAAGGTAAGCACAATTCTTTTCTGATTGTGTCTATTTCAATGCCTGCGAATGCATTTTCTTCAAAAGTCGGCCTTAAATTAAATAAGGCCTTAAATGCTTTTTGGCCTAAAATTGATTTTGGGCCCAATTTCTTTTTCTAAAAAGCTAAATGACTTTAGCAGTTGAAAATATGCAGGCATTTTCATATAATATATAATTTTTTATGGTTAAATCTTCACCTATTTATAGATTGCAACACAATATATATGGACTTTGCTTCAAATATATTATTATTTTGGATGGAAATATACACATATACATTTCATATATTCTTATAATTGTCTATTCTTATTTTATTATTTATAGTCAATTAAGTATGGCATTACCTTCTTTATCAAGTGTTTCACATTCCACACCCATGTCCTGCATTGAAAAGACTAAGTCATCTATGATTGCAAGCAATGGTGTGATGACAATAGCCGTGTGATTTTATCTTTGTCAATCTAAAATTAAATATATTGTTATTTTGGATGAAAATATACACATATACATTTCATATATTCTTATAATTGTCTATTCTTATTTCATTATTCATTGTCAATTAAGTATGGCATTACCTTCTTTATCAAGTGTTTCACATTCCACACCCATGTCCTGCATTGAAAAGACTAAGTCATCTATGATTGCAAGCAATGGTGTGATGACAATAGCCGTGTGATTTTATCTTTGTCAATCTAAAATGAAATTTCTAAGTAATGCTTGTTTTTGAATGATCTGCTTGCTTTACATTAAAAAGTAATGGACAAAGTTGTTGGTACATGTGAAGATCAACCAATTAGCAATGAGTTGTTGACACTGTGTTACATCAATGAAAATACATTTCAAGATATGGCACATGTCCTGCATTGGGGATTTAGGGTAATCCACTTTTAATCATATTGACATCATCAAAATTCACCTTTGATTTATTTCTATACACTTGTTCTTTTTGTCTAACATCATGCAAGAACGGCCAATGTGGAGTTAACTGAGAAGTGGTTGTAGGTACCTGATTTCTTAGTTTCCTACCAAACAGTAATTCTGCAGGGGATCTACCATTTGACAATGGGGTGGAACGGTAAGCTAGAAGTGCCTTATATGGATCTTCTGATTTCTTGATTAGATTCTTAACTGTCTTCACCGCGCGTTCCACAGCACCATTACTCTGAGGAAAAATCGGACTAGATGTCACGTGGTCAAACTGATAATCACGAGAAAACTCTTTGAATTCATACGCAGAGTATTGAGGTCCATTATCGGATCGAACTTTTTCTGGGATTCCATGTCTCGCAAAAATCGATTTTAAGTTAAGTATGACTTCCTTAGCTGACTCTTCCCTCAATTTTGCAATTTCGAAAATACGTGAAAAATAATCAACTATGATTAACCAAACTTTGCCTCTTAAGAAATACAGATCTGAGCCAACGACTTGCCATGGCCTCTGAGGAAATTCTGAAGGAATCATTGGTTCATAGGATTTATCACGATGTTCTGCACATTGTGTGCATTTGTACACAAGATCAGCAATTTGTGATGAAAGACCGTGCCACCACAGACTCTGTATGGCTCGCTCGCCCATAAGATACAGGTTTCCAGTCGCATTGGGAATTTTCGCGCTGGTAAATCGCTGCGCCCAGACCATGCTTTGAGGCATCCGCACTTACTGTAGTTTCATGATTTGGATCATAATGTTTTAACGCAGTATTTGAGCAAAGTTCCTTTTTGATACTATCGAATGCATTTTGCTGAGAATTTCCCCATGTAAACTCGTAGTCAGAGGAAGTCAAATCTCGCAGTGGTTTCGAAAGTTCGGCTAAGTTAGACGTAAACTTACCTAAATGATGAACCATGCCTAAAAATCTACGTACGCCATGTATGTCTGTAGGTGCACTCATTTCTGATATTGCGGAAACTTTTTCAGGATCAGGAGAGACGCCTTTTTCTGAGACTATAGTCCTAAGGAATTTTACACTCGATGTCCCAAAAACGCATTTATCTTTGTTCAAAGTCATGTCTGAGGCTTGTAGTTTCATGAGAACTTGATTTACACGAGTATCATGTTCCGCTTTTGACCTACCATATATGAGTATATCATCCATATGACAGACAACACCCGGAAGTGATTCTAGGATTTGACACATCCGTTTTTGGAAATATTCTGGGGCTGAATTGATACCAAATGGCAGTCTATTGAAACAGTAACGTCCAAATTGAGTCATGAATGTAGTCAATAGTCGAGATTCTTCGTCTAGTTGAATTTGATAGAATCCGGAATTTGCATCTAGCTTTGTGAAAACTTTAGCACCAGATAACTGTTTAAGTGTTTGTTCAACAGTCGGTAACATGTAATTTTCAACCATGACATTTTCATTCAACGCAGTGAAATCAACACACACGCGAATATGACCATCGGCTTTATCAATAGGTACTATTGGAAAACACCATTCTGTTGGTTGATCAACTCTCGAAATAACTTCAATTTTCTCCATTGTTTCTAATTCATGTTTGAGTTTCTCATACTGTGGCAATTTTACCGCTCTTGACATTACGACAGAACTAGGTTTCGCGTTTTCGCGTAATTTGATGTGATATTCACCATCTAGCTTACCTAACCCCGTGAAAAGTTTAGGAAATTTCACAAGAGGAGAAGCTGAAACTGAATCAATGTTACAATCAGTGTTACAATCAATGTTACATGTATCTACCCTTTTAAGGAGTTGCATAGCCTTTATGTCAGGTTTACCTAACAGAGGCTTTACTAGATTTTTGACAACGTAAACATCAGTTTTCTCTGGTTCAGACTTAGACTCAGTATAGATGGAAGTTTAAAACATGCCTAGAACTTTGAGCTGATTGTGACCTGGCCCATAAAGTTGTTTCTTAGGTTTCAACAGTTTTACATACTTATTTTCAGATTTGATCTTATTGAAGTCTTTGTCTGATACAAGAGAAACTTCTGCACCTGTGTCAATATTGAAAGATAAATTTGTATTTTCAACTTTCAAATTTATATCATATTCGTCATCAACAGATTGCACATTTTCTACAGCAGCAGAAGTAATGTGACCAATAAATGCATGTGTAACTGATTCACTAGTTACATTATGAACGGCATTTTTTGTAGATCTGCATACAATTCCCCAATGTCCGATTCGCGAACATTTCGAACACTTCGAATCGTTTGGTGGGCAATCTTGACGTGAATGATGTCTCGGCTTACCACATCGGTAGCACTTGTGGTTCTCCTGAGTTGGCGTATCAGCAGACGGAGTATTCGGCTTGCTATTATTTTTACGGCGAGGTTTACGAGGGCGAGATTTAATCACTGCAACAGTCTCATGTTCATGTTCGGGTCTAATGACCTTAATCTGGCTTGTCACCGCCTCGTTTTGTTCAGCTTTCTTAAGAGTCAAATCTGGATCAAGTTGTAGCCTTTTAGATAATTTATCGTCTCGAATTCCAACAACAATGCGATCACATATTAGTTCCTCTCGCAGAGTACCATAATTTGTGTGTTCACTTAGACGATATTGTAATGACCCCGATAGTAATTTGAGATGGTAGCGAGCCAAAATATCAGAGTCTTACAGATAAAAGAGAAAACTTGAAATATTGAATCTCTTACTATGGATATAACTAATGTACAATACTTGGGTTTATAATATTTTATTGAAGATTACTATAATCTGTGTGGATTGGTTAGAGTCTCCCATAGAGGCTGTATGTCGCAACTCTGCGACATAAAACGTACCACTAATTAAACAGACAATGTGATGTAATTTTAAAATATAAACATAAAAACTA